CACCAGGCACGATTAACTTTTTGTTTGTGTAGCGACTACCAAGGCAGGCGGAAATGACAAGCCCCCCCCCCAACCGACGAGCTAGCTTGGGATGCAAGCGTGCCTGCATGCCGCCCGCCGGGTTCAAATATGCAGCTACATAACAATGGCGCCCAACGTAATAGCCCACTAATTTTCATGTTTTCCCATCACTTTCTTGCTAACACCGTTTCACATTTCATTTCACAGTAGTTTTTCTTCTTGCATTCCACTATCATATTTACTTTCTTTTCTATCGGACGTGTAGGGTCAGGGGGGTATCATCACTTATGATCGTCACAGGTGATTTGTGCCCAACTGGCAAATATGGGGGTGTGGCCAGTCTCATCTTCAGAGTGCCTTCTAAGGACGCCAGCGTACTTAGAAGTGGGGGCTGAAGATGCGACTGTGGCAAAATAAGAATATTTAGGTTTGTTGAGTTAGACCATTATGCTGCCGTGTATGCGGTCTACGTACGGTCCGACGTACGCGAGCAGTGGAACCACATTTCCCGATCATTAAGTACCGCCGCCGAAGAAGTAGTTGGATTTCAGCGAGCCCGAAAGAACAACTGGTACGATGAGGAATGTCAAGAAGCCGCAGAGAGAAAAGATGCCGCCTACAGGGCCACGCTGCGATCGGGCGCAACGCGAGCCATGTGGGACCGTTATAGGGAACTGAAGAAGGAAGCGAGACGTATTTGCCGCAATAAGAAGAGAGAGGCCGAAATACGTGAGTGCGAAGAGCTTCACATGCTGGCCGACAGGAAGAACGCCCGAAAATTCTACCAGAGGGTTAGGCGACTTACGGAAGGTTTCAAGACCGGGGCGAACTCCTGTAAGAACAACAATGGCGACCTAGTGACCGATGTCCAGAATATACTTAAATTGTGGAGGGAACACTTTTATAACCTACTGAATGGTAGCAGCGCTGAAAGTAGTGAGGAAGACGAACCCGAGTCCCCAGTCGATGATGATGGAGTAGCTGTCCCACCGCCTGACTATGACGAGGTACGAATAGCGATTACGCGGCTGAAAAACAACAAAGCTGCTGGAGCTGACGGCCTGCCAGCCGAGCTATTCAAGTACGGCGGCGAGGAGCTGATGAGGTGCATGCATCAGCTCGTATGCAGAATATGGTCAGATGAACGCATGCCCGACGACTGGAATTTAAGTGTGCTCTGCCCAATCCACAAGAAAGGCGACCCCGCCATACGCGCCAACTACCGCGGAATTAGCCTTCTAAGCTTAGGTTACAAGGTCTTATCGAGCGTATTGTGCGAAAGACTGAAGCCCACCGTCAACGAGCTGATTGGACCTTATCAGTGTGGCTTTAGGCCTGGAAAATCCACCATAGATCAGGTATTCACAATACGCCAAATCTTGGAAAAGACCCGCGAGAATAGGGTCGACACACACCATCTATTTGTCGATTTCAAAGCCGCTTTCGACAGCACGAAGAGAAGTTGCCTTTATGCCGCGATGTCTGAATTTGGTATCCCCGCGAAACTAATACGGCTGTGTAAAATGACGTTGAGCAATACCACCAGCTCCGTCAGAATAGGGAAGGACCTCTCCGAGCCGTTTGATACCAAACGAGGTTTCAGACAAGGGGACCCCCTTTCGTGTGATTTCTTTAATCTTATGTTGGAGAAGATAATAAGAGCCGCAGAACTGAACCGCTCAGGCACAATACTTTATAAGAGCGTACAATTGCTGGCGTATGCCGACGACATCGATATTATCGGTAAAAACAAGGGCTACGTCTGTTCTGCCTTCTCGGGATTGGATAGAGAAGCAAAGCGAATGGGTCTGGTGGTGAACGAGGACAAAACGAAGTATCTCCTGTCAGCACACAAACAGTCAGAGCATACGCGTCTTGGCACCCACGTCACTGTTGACAGTTACAAGTTTGAAAAAGTAGACGACTTCGTTTATTTGGGTACCAGCATTAACACCAATAATAATGTCAGCCTTGAAATCCAACGGAGAATCACTCTTGCCAACAAGTGCTACTTTGGGCTGAGTAGGCAATTGAGAAGTAAAGTCCTCTCTCGTCGTACAAAGATCACACTCTATAAGTCACTCATCATGCCTGTGCTGGTGTATGGCGCGGAAGCATGGACAATGAAAGCATCTGATGAGGCGGCTCTTGGAGTTTTCGAGAGAAAGATTCTGCGAAAGATTTACGGACCTTTACGCGTTGGTGATGGCGAATATCGCAGACGATTTAACGATGAGCTCTATGAGCTTTACAACGATATAGACATAGTGCAGCGAATTAAAATTCAGCGGCTCCGCTGGCTTGGCCATGTCGTTCGGATGGACAGAAACGCTCCTGCTCTGAAAATATTCAACGCGGGCCGCGATGCTGGTAACAGAGGAAGAGGAAGGCCTCCTCTGCGTTGGAAAGACCAGGTGGAGAAGGACTTGGCTTCACTTGGCATTTTCAATTGGCGTCAGTTAGCACAGAAGAGAAATGACTGGCGTGCTGTTTTGGACTCGGCCAAAATCGCTTAGGCGGTTACAGCGCCAAATAAGAAGAAGAAGTATGCGGTCTAGCATCGCATGCATGTGAGGCTATGAGATTTCTCAGCAGGGGAGTATTGAACATGAGGGGTGTTAACCCTTCGTCTGACACATGAGCCCAGCCAGGCCTTTTCCATTTTCAAACTACAAAAAATGGTACTTTAAATGTAGCTAGAGGCTTGAAATTTCAGGTACCTTACTAAAGTTTAGTGAACTACCAATCTATAAAAAATCATGTCGGTATCATAGATATAAAGCTAGATATATAGAATGTTGATTAATACATCAAATTCGTAGCACATAGGTCTGGCTGGACCCACATATATTCCTATGTAATTTTTACCTAAAATGAAGGAATGCAACCGTTTTTCAAAGTTTTCTTCTAAATTTTTGAATTATCATGGCAAGAGATGATTTTTACCTAAAAGGAAGGAATGCAACGGAATGCAATAGAATATTACCCCATTATAATTTTACTCGCCTCCAAAGCTCTTCCATGTTACTCGGAGCTCTTTTGTGCTATGCTAATCCTCTCTTGACCACAGCGCTCAATTTTTCGATGGCGTTCAGGTCTTCGGTTTGTGCTGCCCACTGCATTAGCATAGCCCAAGCGAACTCCAGTAACATAGAAGAGCTTTGGAGGCGAGTAAAATTATAATGGGGTAATATTCCAAGCGAAATCATAGAAAACCTAGTAGAGAGCATACCCAGACGTATGAAACTCGCTATTAAAAGCAAAGGAGTATCCACAATCCTCTTGATATATACCTCCTAAAATCTCAAAAGAGAAAAGTTCAAAACTGAGTGAAGAGAGTTGCCTTGCGTTTTTGCTGAGAATCACTTGTTAATTTTTCTGTATACTAGGCTTTATATCTTAAATAATAAAGACAAATTGCTGAAAAGTTCAAAGCAATCTGCTTAAATATTATTAAAAAAGTTGGTTTTGATCTCCAGTGTATTTAAATAATTAAATAAAAAAAGAAAGCCCTTAAATTAAGTAAATATTTGAATAAAATACAGTAAATAAGTTTAACTGAACAAATGTCGCACATAATTTCAATATAAAAGTATACAATTTGCATATGGGTCCAGCCAGACTCATGCGTACCGAATGTGCCAATCGAAACATGTGTCTGACGGAGAGTTAAGGGTAAGTGTAGCTGCGCGATTGGAGCCAAGACTCCGAAGGCTGTTGTGCTACACTTGTTAATGGCAAGAGGGTGTTTAGATGACTTTGATATTGGACAGTAGACTCACGGACCAACACTCCTTCAATGACCTCGCCAAGGCAACACCAACACACACCGAAGTAAATCTAAATATATATCTACTTACGTAAAGCAACAACAAAACAAAATCCTAAATTGTACGTAAAATTTAAAAAAAGGGAACAAATAAAAATAATTCACTTACTGAAAGATTTTTTGAATTTTATTCGAATTAATTTTAAGCGCACCATTACATTTACCATTTTTGCATTACCTACTTTATTTTGTTTATCATTACCTTTTCTCTTATTATCAGGATTTTCTTACTTATGTTATATTTTTATAAACGCGAATTATCACATTATTTATTAGTATAGCTTTTATTACATACAATTTACATATTTTCATTACATATTTATCAGGTTTTATTTTTCATTTTAATATAAACATATACACGCCTATATATATATGTATGCATATTTGTGCACACCTTGAATTAAATTTACATTGAATTAGCCACACATATACATACATACATACCTACATATAACCTGCATATACACTATTGTAAGTTTTATACGATAGTGTACCGAAACGAATTCTGATTTTTTTATATATACTTTTTTTATTTAATTTGTTTTGAATTTCGTTACAATCGCTTT